CTAGAGTCTAAAATACAGTGCATAATTTCCTATGAGAATCATGTTGGTAAGAAGTGCCCTTACCTTATATAGATATGCTCCCAAAGTTAATATCTAAATGAATTTTCTCTTTAATGCAGATTTTCCTTCTATATTAAATATTTCTAAAAAAATTCCATAAGGGATAAGGTGGATTTTTTTTTCCCCCAAAGGAGGCAGCAAGGGTGTAGCATGCTGTTTCCAACTTACCAAATCAGGAACTTGCACTCAGGTTGGAACCCTACATCCCTTTCCCTAAAGGATGGGCTTTATGGGAAGTCTATACAACCTGTGGAAATATAGGGCTTCTCTCTGTGTGTGGCTGTGTCAAGGATTCCCCAGGACTGGATTAAATCAACTAGAGGGCAGGAAGATGGGCTGGGGAGGCAGCAGGGGTATCAAGAAAGGTTGAGGTGACTCTAAGGTGACAGCCTTGCTGGAGTGGGAAGTGTTTCCAGCCTCTGGAGGGGAAAGGAGAGAGCTCAATCCCTTTGAAAAGGGGCTGGCCCAAAGCAGGTCCCAGCCTCCCGTGGGTTTGGCAGGCCATCTGACCCTCAGGCTGTGACTGGAACCAAGTCCTGGAGAGGGGCCCCTATCATGGCCCAAGGTGGGAAGACACTGGTCCTCTGTTAGCATGGAGGGTCCCAGTTTTTTACCCTCACTGTGGTATCTCCAGAGCCAACATGGAGTCTGCCACCAAGAGATACTCATAAATACTTGCTAAATCAGTAACTGAAAAGTGGTTAAACTATTAGCAGTGACAACAGAAGTATTTGCAAACTGCCCAGGGTCCCTACTGGTGATAAAAAGGATTTGGGCGAGAGGGGTATCCATAATTCTATCAGTGGAGCCTCTAGCCAGAGAATGCTGTTTTCTTCTTGTTACGGTGATAGTAGAATCACCTTTTCCACAGCTATTTAAATCTAATAGTTAAGGCCACAGAATCATTTGGTTGACAGGTGCCACATTTCACAACCATAGTACCTGTTACGGTATAACAATAGTACAGTTCATAATTTTTAGGTTTCAAAAAATACAGTCTGTCAATTCAAAAGTTTGGAATATTTAACACTATTGTCCATGAGATTAAAATATTTATTCAGTTAGATTGAATAATCCTTAGAGAAATCAACTCCATAGCTTTTGGGGAGGGGGCCCAATTTGATCTACTCACAAGTGGGGATTTGGGGGAGGGGGAGAATATTTTGGGATTTTGGGTATGGAGATTTTTTTCAAAGCTTTTACACTTTCCTACTTCTAAGTGGCTATGAAGTGTCCTGATCTCCTTCTGGCAACGTTTGTCTAGATAAAACCTTTTTTTAAGATAGGCCTTGTCAAAGACACAAGGTAGCTGTTGAGAGTACAATAATGCATTTACAAAATCTGTTAAATGGTCATTTGTGTAAGTAGATTTATATAAACAGAAAATAGTTCTATTTTTTCTTTGCCAAGCAATCAAGCAAAACCCTAAGAACAACAAAATTAGGCAGAGGCCTTGGGGACAATGGCCATGCCTCCTTTGAGTAAGATATAAGCACCACTGGAGGGCCCATTTGAAACTACAGCGTGGCAACTGAAGAACCTAATGTTTTCAAGCATCAGGGTACAACTGGTGAACAGATGGGCAACAGAGGCAGGAAAGAACTACCTCTATTCCATGGCTTGAGCGCCTACTATTTCAAGCTTCCAGTAGAGGGCTGAGAATAGTGTTACTGAGTGAGGTACTTTCAGCCAAGGTGGGAGATGAAACCCTAACATCTGAAGAGTATTAACATTAGCTCCCTAGTAAATATAGGTCAGGAAGTGCTTACAAGAGGGAAACAAACAGGCAAATAGGTCCCCAGTTCGCTGCATCCTGTTATTCCCTCTCTCTACCCTGAGTAGGGGGCCACATACAATACCCATTTTATTCCCAAGACGTAAATGACTAATAGTTTAGTTTAGTTGTTTTTTTTTTTTCCCCAGAGGCATTTACATTTTAATAGGTTGAAAGCCTTAGTAAAAAAGAGCAATGACAGCAGAATTTCCAGTAGACGTCAACTTTTGGCTTTGGTGGAATAAGAAGAACCATCCCCTTTATCAAATACTTATTATTCCTTTTAAACAAACTAGGTCTCTTCCTTACTGATTCAATCGTTTGAATGAAAATGTTTTAAAAGGAGTATTTAACCCCTCAAGAGTCTGAGTATTTAAAAACGCCTGCATCTCCTGTTTCTCTATTTCTCATGAGATACTGGAATTTCTAACCAGATAGTAGTCCCTCAACTCAACACTTCTCAAATATCTCTGGTGAAAATTTTTTTTTTAATTTCCAGTACTTGAGGGACCAATACTTGGGTAAATTAAAATCAAAATGTTATGAATTTTATGTTCATATCTAAGAGTTTAGTGTCTCTCTGTACTTATCTTGTCACAGACCAATAAGTGTGCAGACTGGCACTGGTCTGCGGATGGCGTTGGAAGATCACTGCTATACCTTGTTATTTTCTCCCTTAAAAAATACCTGCATTTGGCTTAAAGACCTCTGCCCACCATGGCCACCACGATTACATGCAAGAGCTTGCCTTACATCTTCCTTCCAATTTTTAAAAGAAGATAGCCTCTGAATCCATAATTACAGACATTTCAGACACTTTCTCATCTCCATTTAAACTGACCCTCGGGCTTCCCTGGTGGCGCAGTGGTTGAGAGTCCGCCTGCCGATGCAGGGGACACGGGTTTGTGCCCCGGTCCAGGAAGATCCCACATGCCGCGGAGCGGCTGGGCCCGTGAGCCATGGCCGCTGAGCCTGTGCGTCCGGAGCCCGTGCTCCGCAACGGGAGAGGCCACAACAGTGAGAGGCCCGCGTACCGCAAAAAAAAACAAAAAAAACAAAAAAAAGAACTGACCCTCTACTTGCAGTGTTGTGTGACACAACTTTCCACTCCCTTGTTCATCAGTTCAACCGGTTTGGTGTTGCTCACTTTATTGGCGGTGAATTTGGCCTGGATGCCAGAAGCTCGTGTAAGACACTTGGGTAGCACAGAAGTTCAGGTATTTGAGGATTCCCAGGAGAAATCCATCTAGGAAAACAACATAAATGACAGGACATATGCTTGCTTTTTTTTGGCCACCCCATGGCATGCAGGATCTTAGCTCCCCGGCCAGGGATCGAACCCGCACCCCCTGCAGTGGAAGCGGGGAGTCTTAACCACTGGACTGCCAGGGAAGTCCCGACATACGCTTTCTTGATATAAAGATTACAGGAAAGCCTCAGTTGAATTTTTCCCTCCAAGATACAGGTTGAAAGAGTCTTCTGATGGATAAGCAATTCTGATATTCATAAGTTTTTTCATCCACGGGTTGGAAGGCAATTAATTCTTATTTTCTTATCCCTATAACCCCAAACTGAAAATTCCACATGGCCATGTATTAAGTTCATACATTTCCATTCATAAGGCACAAACCCTACACATCTCTCAAGAGAAAGGAAGAAAACAACGATATGAAGACAACAAAGTAATATAGGAAGAGAGGAGGTTCATCAAACTGGAATGAAAACCCACCTCCCTTTTTAGTAAACAGAGACCTTATACTGATAGAAAATACAGCCGCTGGGGAGGGTTCCAATGCAGCCCCCTTCACTGGATCAGTGCAGAAGGCAGTCCTCAGGGGGGCCGCGTGGCCAGAACACGTCAACCGCAAGCCCCTGCCCCCACCCCATAGAAGCTGTTGGGCAGCTATGTCCTAAACAGAACATTCTGCCTACAGGGTGCCCAGTTCACCATCCTCACCCAAAGGAGCCTTCGGGGACCAATCCAACTTGAATGCACACATGTGCCTGTCCTGGGGCTTGATGAATTTAAGCTGCTCTAAGCTGAGGTACAACTGTCTCCCCGAGGACCCTGAAGTAGGGTAGTTATGCGGGTCCTTCGTGGGGCAGCATCTATTTAAGAGGCTGGACCTTGAGTTCCTCTTGAAATAATCAGATCCCTAGTGGGACTCTTAGAACCAATTCACTCTACCAGGGGCTTTTTGAACATGCTGGTCAAAATCTGGAGAAGATGCTCTGGAAAAAGCTCCAGATCTTCTGGCATGTAAGGCAGCCCTAATAGATCTCAAGTAATCCTGCAATGCACAGGTATAAAACAGAAGGGTCCCATGACACCAAACGGTATCCATGCTTGCTGGCTGGACCTCCTGATGGCTCTTGGCACTGTATTTTCTACTACCATTTCCATTAGTATTATATGAGAGTACGTTTCCTGAATGTCCACATGGATCCAAGCATTTCCTGGAAGTATGACTGCTTCATCGTCCTCTCTATCATCATGCAAGGTACAGATGGGCGTGAACAGCACTTGGGAGAAAACAAACAGCCAGGCAGACATCATCCTGAGAAAAGGGTCAGTGCTAGAGTGGGCCAGAGAAGGGACCAGAAGTGAGACGAACCGAGTAATTCACGATGTCTGAGGGTTTTACGGAATCTTCTTGAAGATTCTGACCTCTCCGCCCCGGACGATCTGAAATCCAAATGAAATTGGGTCCTTGGGTCAATGTACCCAATTACCAAAGACCAGCATCACAGAAGAATGCTCATTTCAATACCGTGTGGTCCAGCCACCTCCTAACTTCTCCAGTCCAGTTGGATTATCCCTTTACACCAGGCCTTGACCCTGGAGGCCACAGTTGGAATTCTACTAAATTTTCAGGCATGAAGATGGTTCTTAATTCAGTGTCCGACGAATCTTAGCCAAGGTCCCTTCCCTTCCTGTGTCTCGTAAGGCTACAGCCCAGAGGATAAAGGGATCCTTTCATTCACAACAATAACAGCAAAACTCTTGGACCCTTTGACTTCCTAATGCCATAGCCATAGCCACCCTTGGAAATACATACTCATTGAAAAGCCTGCTCTAAAAAACAAAATGTCAACTCCTACTGCTGATTCAAGTTTTCCCCAAATCGTATCAGGCCAAGTCCACACCGCACCCCACCTGCCGGCCTCAAGAATCTTTCTTGGTCAGTCTGGCCTTGATTTTTTGCCTCAGGAAGGCTGCAGTGGCTGCGCTGCAGGCGACCAGGCAGAAGAAGGAGAGGCAGGCCATGTAGACGGACAGGGGGCTGTGACGTTGCAGGAAGATCTCCTGTCGCCCCCTGTAGTCTAGGAGGACGGCCTCCAGCTGGGACAGTGTGCAGACAGACAGAAAGGCGTGGAAGATCTGATGCCCGTGGCCCACGATGTCACAGGAACCCGGGAAGTACTTCTCCGGAACCGGGCAGGAGAAGAAGTAGGCACTGACCAGGAAGAAGACAATCTGCAGGGAGTGGTACCAGACCGCCTGCTCCTGGCAGCCAGACAGGTGGCACAGAACCACGCGATGTGCCACGGGGCTGATGTCCAGGATGAAGGCCAGCCCCGCCGGCACCACCTGGCAGATCTTCCTCATGACTGGGTAAGGCCTGCGGTACCGGTACTTAGCGTAGCAGCAGCCGGCACAAGATAACCAGCCACAGAAGGCGGCTGCGGGCAGGAAGAAAAGCCAGAAGTGCTCGTACCAGGCCTGGTCGGAGGTATAGAAGAAGTGGACCAGGGCACTGCCGTACTGGTAAACGCTCACGCCCACGTAGTCCACAAAGTAGAAGGTGTAGTGCGAGAGCTCGGACTTGGACTGCAGCAGGTGGGCCAGGAGGCTGAAGGTGAGGTAAGTGATGGAGGACAGGACGTAGAGGAGCAGGGGCAGGGCGTGGGCGGAGCTCCACGGCAGGCCCTCGGCCTCCACAAAGGCCCAGAACCGCAAGAGGACGGCCAGAGCCGCCAGCAAGTGGGTCCAGACGTTAACCACCTCGTTGTGTTTCTGAAAGAGGCTGAAGAAGTAGTAACGCCACTCGCGGCCGGTGGGCCGGTACCCAGCACGGATGTAGGGCTCCCGGAAGAGCTGGGGCACGTCGCTCTCCGGGACGGTGCCGGGCATCTTGGGCAGCCCATCCTCCAAAATCTTGGGCAGGCGGCGCAGATGCTGTCCACTCACGGACAGGGTGCTCAGACGCTCCAGGATGGCAGTCGTCATGGCTACACGGGGATGCAACCTACAGGAAACAGAGTAAAATGGGCAAAGATGCGGTGAGGGGCTGCTGAGCAAAGACAGCGAGGGAGCTATGGGTTTGCTAGTGCAGCTGGGGAGGCGGGACTGCAGGCAACCTCTTTGAGCCCCCTTTTAAAATTTTTTTTCGTATGTGGAATAATAGAGTTGGACCAAGATCGCTTACTGCTCTGACATTCCGACTTTGTCTCTACTGCTCGCTACAGAGTGAGGCAAAGTCACATCTTGTAAAATGGGAATGTCAGCCACCCCATCTTAATGACATCTAGAAGGTAAGTGAGGGTACCTTTAAAGCTTTCGAGTTTGCTAGATGACATTAAAATGTAACCCTCAGGCCTTCCCTGGTGGCGCAGTGGCTAAGAATCCGCCTGCCAATGCAGGGGACACGGGTTCAAGCCCTGGTCCAGGAAGATCCCACATGCTGCGGAGCAACTAAGCCTGTACGCCACAACTACTGAGCCTGCGCTCCAGGGCACGTGAGCCACAACTACTGAGCCCACGTGCCACAGCTACTGAAACCCATGTGCCTAGAGCCCATGCTCTGCAACAAGAGAAGCCACTGCAATAAGAAGCCTGCACACCGCAATGAAAGAGTAGCCCCCGCTCGCCGCAAGTAGAGAAAGCCTGTGAGCAGCAATGAAGACCCGACATGGCCAAAAATAAATAAATAAATAAATAAATAATTTTTAAAAAAATCACAGTGGGGCTTCCCTGGTGGTGCAGTGGTTGAGAATCTGCCTGCCAACGCAGGGGACACGGGTTCGAGCCCTGGTCTGGGAGGATCCCACATGCTGGGGAGCAATTAGGTCCGTGTGCCACAACTACTGAGCCTGCGCGTCTGGAGCCTGTGCTCCGCGACAAGAGAGGCCGCGATAGTGAGAGGCCCGCGCACTGCGATGAAGAGTGGCCCCCACTTGCCACAACTAGAGAAAGCCCTCGCACAGAAACGAAGACCCAACACAGCAAAAATAAATAAATTAATTAATAAACTCCTACCACCAACGTAAAAAAAAAATCACAGTGAGCTACCAACACAAACTCACTAAAAATCACTAAAATTAAAAAAAGTGTAATCATCAGACAGGCTCTATCAGTACAAAAGTTTTTTTTTTTTAAGGAATGGTATAGCAAGAGACACTGTTCCATTTTATTTATAACAGTAAGAAACTGGAAAGAACTTCCTTGTTCAACAATAGGAAATTGGTTTTAAAAAAATCATAGAACCATAATTTAAGCCGTAAAACAGAACTGTGAGCAAACAATAGAAATATGTTGTGAATGTATTTAATGACATGAAAAGATCTAGCTGTATATTCATTGTCTATTATCCCAATGTCTTCCTAGTGGAACCTAGTACTTTTCTCTCTTCAAATCTCCTATACTTCTTCATCCATCCTCACTCAGCCTAACCTTCTTCCTGTTTTATTGAGAAAACGCAATCAATCAGAAGAGACTTCTGCAATCTACTACCACAACATTTGCCCACCAGCCAGCATTTCTGTCTCATATGCTCCTCCCCTGTTTCAATGGCTGGAACCATCTTGGTGAAGACCAACCCTTCACTTAGACATTATATTCTGTCCCTTGGCGCCATCCATTGTAGAGTTGCACATCATTGTAATGACAGAAGAGGGCGCTTTAAATGAGGGATCTTGTAGACCACTCCAAATCAAGTCTCAAATAGTCTTGAACTGGCAAAGACAAAAGCACTCTTCATCCATACAAAGCTTTTTTATGTATTTTATTTAGTATGAAGTATTATATCGAAATACAAAAAGTATCAATGTTGATATTAGTAATGAGAGCCTACATTTCTTGAGCACCTAATCTTAAATCACCCACTAATTTCACTGGGAACTTGAAAATCTGAGATAAGCAATAGTTACTTGAACCTCAAGGTCAAATGAGTCATCAGTCAGGTTGGTAAAAACCAAGGCATATTCTGAGAAATCTTTTTTTTATAATTAATTAATTTTGGGCTGTGTTGGGTCTTTGTTGCTGCACACAGTCTTTCTCTAGTTGTGGCGAGCGGGGGCTACTCTTCGTTGCGGTGCACGGGCTTCTCATTGCAGTGGCTGCTCTTGTTGCGGAGCATGGGCTATAGGCATGCAGGCTTCAGTAGTTGTGGCACACGGGCTCAGTAGTTGTGGCTCGTGGGCTCTGGAGCGCAGGCTCAGTAGTTGTGGTGTACGGGCTTAGTTCCACTGCCTGTGGGATCTTCCCGGACCAGGGCTCAAACCTGTGTCCCCCGCATTGGCAGGCGGATTCCTAACCACTATGCCACCAGGGAAGCCCTATCCTGAGACATCTTAAGAGCTGAACAAAATTAACAGGTAGCCTAAACTTAATGAAATCTAATTGCAAAGACTGTGTGTGTATTTTTTTTTTTAATTATGCTCTGGAAAGCAAGTGGTTTTGGACTTGCCTCTCCTGAGAACCCAAATCTGTATGCAGTCAATTTCAGCCCTCACAAATGTTTAACTTGGGCTTCCCTGGTGGTGCCATGGTTGAGAATCTGCCAAGGACATGGCAGAAGTGTCTGTGTGAGAGGTACCAGAGGCAGAAAAGGGGGCCGATGGTGTAACCCTGGGGACAGATGCCACAGTTGACAGGGTGATGGGAGAAGAAAGCAGAGGCGGGACCACAGAGGGCAGTGTCACTTAAGCCAGGAGAGGAGGTACCGGTCTATAGCATGAGTCCCCCGAGCTCAGGTGACATAAGGATTGAACAAGCAAAAACTCCAGGGATGGGGCCTCCCTGGTGGCGCAGTGGTTGAGAGTCCGCCTGCCGATGCAGGGGACACAGGTTGGTGCCCTGGCCCGGGAGGATCCTACATGCCGTGGAGCGGCTAGGCCCGTGAGCCACGGCTGCTGAGCCTGCGCGTCCGGAGCGCTCCGCAACGGGAGAGGCCACAGCAGTGAAAGGCCCACGTACCGCAAAACAAACAAACAAACAAAAACTCCAGGGATGAGAAACCTCCCCTCTTCGTTCTGCAACACCAAACCTAAACTCACTTCGCTAATGCCACGCCACCCGCCGCACTCACTTCCTCTTTCTTCCGCAGCGGCCCCTCTGCTCCGGGGCCCACAGAGGCCATAGCATCCTGGGCTGTGTTCTGACCCTTTCCTGGAAGGTCTGCCCCTCACCCCTTCACATGTGTAGGTCCTATCCTCCCAGGAGCAGCTCTGTTCCGTAGAGGCCTGTTTGTATTTCTCTCCACTTAACACTCCGTTACATGCAGTCTGGTGGTGGCTGTTGATTCGTGAAGTTTGACTCTTCTTGTAAGCGGCTTGAGGTAGGTGGTCTTATTTTATTCTTCCTCTGTGGCCTTGGTAGCCTGGAATATTGTTGAGCAGACAGTCCTTGCTCTGAAAAAGCTCTATGGTCGATCCACATTCTTTTTTTTTTTTAATTATTAATTAATTTATTTATTTTTGGCTGTGTTGGGTCTTCATTGCTGCACGCAGGCTTTCTCTTCAGCCAGGCCCTGTTATCATAGGATCCCCAAATACATGCCTCCAGCCAGATCTTTCCTGAGTTTGGATTCAAATATCCAGCAGCTCTGGTTTTGTCCAACTGAATATCCCACGGGCATTTCAAACTCAACCTCTTCAGCCTCCTCCTTCAGCCCAGACTTGACCCGTCCCTACCTCTGATCAGTCATGGAGGCCTGTTGATTTTATCTCAACGTTTCTGGAACCCACTTGTCCTTTCCGTTTCTACCGCTCCCCCTTGATTTGGGCCTTCAAGATGAACTTGTGTTGATGAGGAAAACAGCAGTCTCATAACTGACCTTTCTTCCTCAAGAGATGGTTCCCCCACCTCATATCCCCAAACCCGCCCTCTAGTCTCCAAACCACTTCACGGTGATAGTTTAAAAGCGGAGACTGATCACTACTCCCCTCCCCAAAGTCCCTCAAGAGCACACCATTGTTTACCACACAAACTCTCAGCCTGTGCAAACAGGCCCTTCTGTAGACCTCCTTCCCAGGTCCTATTCCAGCCTCCTTTCCCAGAGCCCACATCCAGTCCACTTGGATGGCTTGGATCATAACACTGGGAGTTTTTCAAAGGTGCAACACTCTCTATCTCCCCTGTATGCTTCTGCACACAAGGGCGGCTCCAGCAACCCTAGCTCATCAACACTCTGCCCAGGTGCCAGCTCTGCCTGTGGCCTTTCCTAACCCCAGGCTGGATGAGGGCACCCCAGCTCCCACCTACCCTGGCCTTGCCTCCCCATCACACTTCTCTCCTGCGGCCCTGACCCTTGGTGATGAGCTCACTTCCCACCACACCTGGCTGCTTTAGGGGCAGGGGCTGTGTGGCATGCAAGTTCCCATGTCTAAGATGATATGTGGCATATAAAATAATCATACACCTAATCATGATTTACTGAACAAATAGTTCTTTAGGCCCAGACGTATGGCACCAATTTCCTTCTGTTCTGCCAGGTTAAGGGAAAAAAAGAAATGATGGTTTGCAAGTAGGGAAGTCTGGCTGTTAATATTTGCTCTATACAATGAGCTATGTGGCCATGCCCAAGACATTCAGCTACTCAGGGTCATTTTCCTCATAAATAAGGGTGGGTGGGAGACGATTTCCTGTCTCTCTACCTCTCAGGAAGAAAAGAGAGTCGATAATGATAAAGTGGGCAGTAGCTGAATGATGCTTTGAAAAGGCAAACCATGCACGTTAAAGTACCAGCAATATTTGAACTAAAGAACACACAAAAGGGTTATAATTTAGTAATATATATATTTTTTTTTCTACCTTATAATTGATTTTAATGCAATCTTTGAAAATTGAAAAGGAATTTAACATTTTTGGCTACATTTCTGGGATCCTTCCAACTGCTTTATTAAGAGATTTAATTAGATTTAGGTTATAATGGGATTGGAATTAAAAGTTCTATTTCTTGAGTACAACATCTACACCATGAATTCAGTTAACATTCACAAGAAAGTGTTAT